ACAATCTCCCCACGATGCATTTGATTGAGGGATAAGGACTCGCCACATCGGCCAGACTTAGCAATGCCCCTGAGAGTGTGCATGTCTGTGTGTGTGTGTGTGTGTGTGTGTGTGTGTGTGTGTGTGTGTGTGTGTGTGTGTGTGTGTGTGTGAGCAGTTGCAGACAATTGTGCACACACACACACACACACACACACACACACACACACACACACTCACACACACAAACACACACACACACAGAGTCATGCTTTTGTTTTTTGTGATTAGCGAATATGACAACACACACACACACACACACACACACACACACACACACACACACACACACACACACACACACACATGCTGTTGTTGTTGTTGTTGTTGTTGTTGTTTTCAACTCTGCATGCCCCTTGGTAGCTTGCCTTGCGCGCGTGCCAGCAGGGGGCGTGCGTTCAGCTTTTTCCCCATATTCGCCATGTGGCGCGTTTAAACGTTTGAACGCGCGTATTGAACGTGAACGCGCGTTTGGCGCGCTCACACAGGCGCATAGGTCTCATCAGTTGTTTCCGTTTGAGCTGCCAGAATGTCTCTCCTTTGTCTTTCTGTATGAGGTCCGGGGTTTTCACGGATTGGTTTCTTCTTTGGGATGTGTGCTGCCTTGCCTACCTCTTGCACCTGTATTGCTTTGCTGAGTGCACGCATCTTACACTGGCGAGTGCTCGACTACCCTCGTTCCTCAACATGCTGCTGCACTGGGATACGGGTTACTGCAGAGGCCTTCTCTCGTATTTTGGCATCGAACGCTCGAGGCAAAAAGGGGTGGGGTGGTCAGAGAGGGGGAGGGGGTTATGTGGCAGGGATTGTTTTGAAGTACGTCTCAATTTTTAATATTTTTTTTATACATGATGTTTCATCTTCAAGCGCGATTGATTTGATTTGACTTGATTCTTTTGATTTGAGTTGATTTGATTCAATCCGACTTGATTCGATTTGATTTCATCAACTTCGGTGGGATTCGATTGGATCTGATCCGTTTTCATGTGTGATCGAATTAGCTTAGCTTTGGTCGGATTCGCCCTGATCTTAGGAGCATCCACTATGAATGGACTGAGTAAATCGGTCATCGAGGAGGGCAATTAGGCAGCGTGTCGAATTCTCCCCCTCCCTGGTTGCGTACCATGGACACAACACGATTTGATTTGATTAGTTTTGATTCGACTGGATTGGAATTGATCTCTTCTGCAACTATTTCACCTGCTATGAGTTGAGCCAGGCCAATCTCAGCCGTTTCGAACGGTTTTGCTGCAGGTCGGTACTCAGTATGTCCGGTCTGACTAGCAGGGCCACTATAGGTTTCATGAAGTCTCTCCTGCTGGTCAATAGAGATTCCACCGCGTGGCAGGGGAGGGGTGGTACCTCACATGCAGTAGGTAGGGGCCGTGTTTCATGGGCTCCTCCACGGGTAAGGAGGGCAAGGATATGATGTACTCAAATGATCAAACTGATCGGCAGTTAATCCCCTCAAGAGAGGGCAATCAATTCTACCCATCATCAACAAACACCATTCCGTGTCTTTTTTGTAAATGGGACGTTGGCCCCGGTTTCCAGCAGGTGCAGCTCCCCACCAATAGACTGGAGCCATCTAATCAGCAGGCCTGCATTGGAGGACACTCTTATTGCCTCCAATAACAGATCTCCAGCAGCAGCAGCAGCAGCAGAAGCAGCAGAAGCAGAAGCAGCAGCAGCAGAAGAAGAAGAAGAAGAAGAAGCAGCAGAAGTAGCAGCAGAAGAAGCAGAAGCAGCAGCAGCAGCAGCAGCAGCAGCAGCAGCCATACAGCCCCCCATTCCCCCCCACGCCGCACCATAACCTGACTCAAACACCCATCCTGTACAACCCACTTCCTACCCCAAACGGAGAAAAGGTTAAAGAATTCACGCAGACCCCACAACAACAATAGACACAGCCATTTATAACCTCTAGGAAAAGTCACGCCAGCCGAGCGTAGCTGGGCTAGGGTATAGGGTTTTACACCCAAGGGTCAGACTCTAGTTAAAATTGCAACTAAGGTTTACAGAGTAGAGTATAGGGAGCCCGATACGACCTCAGTTAAGGGGATCTYATAGAATCATCCCAGACCCAACAAATAGAAAGGAAAGGACCAAGGACGCTCTCAAAGGTATCCAGAATAAGGTGTTGGCTCGAGGGTTTAGGGTCTGAGAGAAGGCAGAAGGCAGAAACAGCAGTACAAATAGGATTTAGAATACCTGACAACCCAAAAGACGTGAGAAAGGGAGTTCAGAGGACAAAACACCATAGAGCTCTAGAAATTGGCAAGTTCATACGAGTTCCTTAGACAGAGTGGTATAGAAAAGTCGCTAAGCAAACCCTTAGATCACAGCCCCCGACATCGGACCTAGCGGTCAGTTTTATCTGTTCAGAACCCAGCGGAGAGAAGCCAGGAGCTAGGTGACTCAGAGGATCAGAAGGTAGTAGATATAGGCTAACTTAGGCAGGGGTGAGGGGTGGTACATCCTTCCCTACGGAAGTAATCAATGCCGTCCACTCGGGCCTCTCAGGCATAATGGGGAGGAGCGTGCGCGTGTTTTCATTTGTATTCTCATCTGACTTGCCAGGGGAATAGGAACCGGACTGTTGCTCCCCAGAATGGCAGGAGCCAGAACCGAGAGGTTCTGCTTTGGAAAAAAAAAAAGAAGGAGGAGGAGGAGGAGGAGGAGGAGGAGGAGGAGGGGGAGGAGGGGAAGAAGGAGGGGAAGAAGGAGGGGAAGGAGGGGAAGAAGGAAGGAAGAAGGAAGGAAGAAGGAAGGAAGAAGAAGATGAAGAAGAAGAAGGAAGAAGAAGTAGAAGAAGAAGTAGAAGAAGAAGAAGGAAGAAGAAGAAGAAGAAAGGGTGCCTGGTAGGGGAATATCCAAAAGATTCCAGGTCCAATCCACGAGCGGTTGGAATGGTGTACTCGGCAAATTTTGATTACTGGCATGAGGGCAACATGCTATGCCCGTCTGTTTTAGCCGCAGCGGATCAAATACGCCATCTTTCGTAGGCATCGAACAAATTAAGTTTTTGGAGTCTTTTGTCTGTCCATCAGTTTTTCGTTTGTGCCACATGTGGCAATTTTGTCCTCATCAGTGCCAAGGGTCGTCATAGTCAACCTTCAAGTTATATGGGATTGCGATTTGATGGGAGGAAGCACGGTGGGCTGACTACTGACGTGGTAGATCTATCCCCATCTCAACAAGTACACACTACCCATTGGCAATCACAATTATGGTGGGAATATCTTATCCACTATGAAAAATCCTTCAACATTCACAGACTGCCACATGTCCCCATCACAACTCCTCATCTACCCCCTCCTGGGGTTGCATAATTCAGATCCAAGAGAGCACCTGTAATGGTAAGCCCCCCAGTTTCACATAGGTAACCCAGCCCTTCCCCTGCTTGACTCACTTGGCGGGATATGAGCAACCTTTCCCCAAGTAACCAATACCCCCCCCCCCCCCCCCCTCCCCCTCTCTGTCTCTTTACCCTTCAAGATCGACACAGAGGTTTGCATGCAGGTATGCATGAAAGCGTGTTAGTGGTCACGTCATTTGCGTAATCATCGCGGGTGCAGTTTGATGGGCTATCAAACATCGGTGATCTATAGTGAACCCTGCAGCAACCTGCAGGTGAAGGAGAGGAAACAAGAGGGGGTGGGAGCCTATCCCAACGAAGTTCTACTACCAAATGGAACGGGTTCGCAGCAAACACGGCCGCAGGCAACTTGAATGCTGGAGTGTGTGGCAGGGTGTCAGGATCAGCATCTGTGTAGTGGGCCTGCCTGCTACAACATGAACCTATTGCCACCGTGACAGGGGGCTGGGATCTGCAGCATCACACAAGAAGATATGGCAGCATCACGGCTTTCTGGGTCTCAACAAGTGCAGCCAACACAGGAGGGTGCAGCATATTCTGGGACCACCATCTCGTGCGGGGTCTGGAAGCTGTCAACCGCGACCTAGCACCACCCAAACAGGAGGGTCGTACATACAATAGCTCAGGTGGCTCACTGATGGCCATGTCTAACAAGGCATCTCAGCTGGAACGGGGCAGTAATGTTAACTGATCATCATATTACTTCTTCTGTAAGCCTGTAAGGGGCATCTGCTAAGAGGTGCTGCTTTCTGACAAATAGACCGAAACATTTCTCTCTCACACTCGCGCAAAAGAAAGAAAAAATTTAAGAGGTGAAAATTCAATACGTGATCTCGAGTATTGCCTGGATAGTAAGTGTACGTCAAATGTTCAATCACAGCCTCGGGGTTCCCAAGCAATCACTGTGCAACTGTTACAGCAGCTTACGACATTTAATGACCTTAATACACCTTATCCCATTCTGAGACCTGAGATACTGTGGAGCTTGAGCCTCGCAGAATTGACGTATACGGTATTCCAGAAAATTTAATGAAAGAGGAAGGAAAAAGTGGCTTTTTTTTTTTTGTCCTAAGAAAAACACCGGAGAAGACAGCTAGGAGTGATGATATAAGCATACACTCCTACCGATCCCAGTCTGTGACTCCCGCCGTATGACGTACAGGGGAGCCCTCATACGTCCATACGAATGCCATTGGCCGTACGTAGGGTCGTACAGCCGTTCATACTGGCCCGTATGAACCAGTACGGCGGGGTAGCGGGGGGAGGAACAGGCGGGACTGG